ACTCACGGTCCTTTTTTATCTAATTTAGCTTTTCCATCTATAATAAGCGTTTCTAAACATTCATAATATCCATTACGTATACCCAATTGTAGAACCGTATAACCTTCTTTATTTTTAATATTAACATCAGCTTTTTCTTTTATTATACGTTGAACTTCTTTTAATATATCGATTTGATGTGATGATTTTTTTATTATAATTATTATTTTTTTTTCAAATAATCGAATTAATGCATGAGTTGACTATTAATTATAATAGATAATTTAATTAGACAACAAAAAAAAATTATAATAAAATATTTTATTCTTACACTTTCAATATTTTTTGTAATAGTATTAGCTGATTGTGGTCGTTTTTTATTACGATGTTTTACTTTTGTTCGTTCTGATTTTTCTCTTGGATATTCATCTATGTAAAAGACAAAGTTTTTTTTTTGTTGCAAAAGAATACTTTTGCCTACTATCAGAATAAATTGTATTTGAATATGGTGAACTTCGTTCACTATTTATTGGATAATATTCATTTGTTTCATTAATAAAAAATGGTGATTGTGACAGATTTTCTGGTTTACGAAATACTGTTTGTATAGTTACTTGATATTCATTTTCATGAACAGTTGCATGAATCATATTACCCATACGTGGTTCACCTAAAAAAAATAATTAAATAATATATAAACTTTTTTAATATTAATATATAAGATATATGTATAGAGAGAGAGAATTTATATTTTAAATAATAATTATTATTCATTATAACAAAATAAAAGTATTTGTTTTTTTTAAATATTAAAGATCTTTACCAATCAATGATTGAAAATCTGGTCGATTAACTGCATAAGTTTTTAAATGAGCACAAATATGATCTAATTGTTGTCGCCAATATCCTTTTCCTGGACTTGTAGATGTTAATATTGGACGATATTCTTTTAATTCTTTTTCATTTAATAACTTTTTATTTTGTGTTATAATTAAATCAATATCTTTTGCACTTGGATAATAAATTCCATATGTTTGTGTTGCAGCTTCTTTTTTAATTGTTGAATATGATTGATGATAATTAGTTAATGTTGTATTTGCATTAAGCCATACAGGATTAACTGAATTACGTGTTAATGTCTATAGAAAATAAAAATCGTTTTATTTTTTTGTTTTTTTTTATTCTTTAATTTTAATATACACTAGCAATCATTGATGAAGATGAAATATTCAAATCGTTTTTAAGACGTGTATCACTAATGCGTAATGGAGGTTCAATAACACATCCACATGTTGAACAAAATTTTCCAAATGAATCATTATTAGTGTGACATTTTGTACATTGTATTGATGTAGATATATGTTCAGGATATGCACCACACCAATCACAAAAACGAGCATTAGGATTATTTAAACGAAAACATTTTGAACATGTTATCATTATTGTATTAGTTTGTTTTGATATTGTTGGAATTGAAATTGAAGTTCGTTTTTCCTATTGAAATATAAATACAAAAAAAAATAAATAAGATTTTTTTTTGTTTACTGGTGATGTCGATGTTGGTATTAATACATTTTCACAAATATAACATGTTCGTAAATGTATTGAATTTGTTGATTTACAATGAGGACATAGAATTCTTGTCTAGAGAGGAACATTAAAATTTGATTAATTTTTGTGAAACCTGATTTTGAGAAGTTGGTCGCTGTTGTGTTTCTTTGGATACTGGTGTTTCACATACAACACATGTGTTAGAATTAAATGGAATAGTAGATTTACAATTTGTACATATATTAGTCTAATTAAAGAAAAATTATCCGTGTAAAATAAGATAACTAGTATTCATTTGTAAAGTAATCAATACTGTTATGTAGAACAATACATGATCCGTCAAAGGATATACTCTTTATCAAATTTTACAGTTCTGAAAAGTCATATACCCCCCCCCCCCTCCCCGAATTAAGGAAATATAACCGATTTTCTAATGTTTTTTTTTGCGAAATCCTTCCTTTCCTATCATAATTAGTACAGTTTTTACAAAAAATGGTAGTTTTTTTAGCAAAAACACCTAAAAAACAATAATTAAAGTTATTAATGAATTATTCATTTTTTAAATGATTTTAATTAAAAACTGGCCAAAAATTGACCCTCAATAGAAGGCCAGCCAAAAAATAGCGATGTGCCAAGTCACTGTATAAGGGCATGCCCTTTTATTCTTGGGGAGGGGGGGGGGGGGTACTAGTTAGCAGGTATTATAGCAATGATGGCTGTTGTAAGATATGACTGTCGAGGACAAAGGCAACGAACTATGCAACTTTTTCCGAGTTCTATAAGTATGATTCCTGAGAATAGAAAAATATATGACTTTTCTTTTTGTTTTTAGGCTTCAGAACGTCGAATGTGATTCGGATATGTAGTTCTATTACATTCAACATATGTTCGGGTTTCTTATAAGAATTAATAGTTTTACCAAGATTCTGAAAGAGAAAAACGTTTTTTTTTACTATTTTTGAAAAACCCATATATATATATGTCAGATATAGGTTATTTTCGAGATCATATTACTCATCATTGCTCTTATATATCTTAGCTGGTATAATGACTTTTATGAAAAATAATTTCGTAAATAACTATGAGTTGTTCAACAGAATGGGATTAGGTAGTTTCTTTTTTTCAAATGAAGGGTAGTCATCATATCCAATAGAATTATTTTGAATTACTGAATAATTATCCGGTGGATTATGAGTTAGTTTTTGCCAAGATAGACCACATTCCGTACAAAATCGTGTATATAAATCATTTGATTTAGGTGCAAAACAATGTGCACATTTAGAAAAGAAACAACAAAGCTCAAATAATAAAGTAATTTTGTTTCGATAAACCTTAAAACATTTGTTTGTATTTGAGAATTTGAATATGTATAATTAGTTGGATTTTCTTGTACTAATGAATCAATTGTTGAACGACGCATTGATTCTATATAGAAATTTGATTAATAATAAATAAAATTACTTTGTCTTTTGATACCAGATAATTTTTGTTGCATTTGTTCATTTTCATTTTTGCATCTTTCTTATTAATTCCTATTGAAGTAAAATTATAAAATCAATTAATAAATATTTAACTGAATTAAATATGTAGAAAAAAGTTCGATTGCTTTACTAATTGTATGTTTACAAATTGTTTTTTAGATAATACTATGACATTCTTCAGAAATATTTCATTTTCAAATCTCGAATTTGAATTTTTCACAGAGATTGAGTTCACTGACAATAGTTTGTAATGAAAGTTTTAGATATATTCTTATCGGCGAAATGAAAAATATTTTGCAATAAATTATTTTCGTTAACATCTATCTCTATGCAAAGTTTCAAGTCGAAATTTAAAAACTAAAATTGAAGATGTGTCAATGACTTTGATAGGTTTTGAACTTCATAGAAAAAAAACATTTTAATGAAGAAATATCGATAGACAAGCATTAAATTACTACTATTATATTAGTGATCTTCTAATTGAACTCTTGAGATATCGAGACATTCTTGAATATCAATTTTTTTTTAATAAAATTAAAGATAAATATTTTTGCAAAGTAAAATATATTTATATTGAAAAAATTGAATATTTAATTAAACTTTAACATCTTGATTAATCATTTATAATGACACATAAACTTGCTGGTATATACAACAGATTATTTTATTTTCGTAATATTTTATGAAAAATTCAATGTATTCAGATATGTTTTCTATAAAAATCGAGTTCATAGTTTCTTTTAATGAAATCTCATCTTTTTCTAAAATATGCTTTTTCAAATTACTTAAATAAATACTAAAAATAATATATTTTTCACTTGATTCAAATTCATTGTACATTTCATATAAAAATAGGTATGATTTCATAATAAAAAAAAAAAGTATTCTATACAGTATTTCAATAAACATGAGATAAGTAAATTTCTATTGAATTTATTTATTATCTATCATTTTGAAATTTTTTACCTTTCGTTCTTGTTGTAATTCATATAAATATCGATTTTCATATTCATCCGATAATGAATGATCTGATGGAATAATTTTAACATCAAATATTTTTGTTACTATAACACTTTCTCGTATTCCATCACTAAATAAATTTTAATAAAAAAAAATAAAAATTCTTCAAACTGATTTTTTTGTTTTCTCAAATATCTTTACCGTGATGCCTGTATTAGCTATATCTCTTGGCATATAAAATGGTTTTTTTTATATTGTATAGTCGAACGTCGTGTTGCTAATGTTATAAATGCATCTGGTTTTGAACCATCTAATGTATAATAAATATCAACATCATTTGTATCACTACGTATTTCAATCAATGTATTTGTATCAATGGAAAATTTTTGTGTATATCCAACACGTAATGGAATTATTGACGGAGCAGATATTGATCCAGCAGTCATTTTGTTTAACAATTCAAAAAGTAATTAAATTGACATGATGAAACCATATCAAACTTTTTTACATCAAACGGTTGTCTATCATTTTGAAATTTTTCATTACGAAGTTGTACTTCACGTCTTTCACGTTCTGCTTGTTCTCTATAATAGTAATAATCAAAATTTCTTTAATCTTGTTCTTTTTTTTTGGATTCTAAATAAAGACTTACAAACGAACTTTAATTATATTTAATTTATCTTTATATTTTGATGTTACATTAAGAACATTTTGTGAAAGATATCCAGATTGAGCATTAATTTCAGACTAGAACAAAAAGCAAATGACAATAAAAAATTATTTTAATCTATATATAAATAATTATGTTGGATTCATCGTCTCAGTCTAGAGGAGTATTATATATAAGATAAAAGAAAAAAAATAAGTGCAGAAAAATGTGCTTATGGAAATATTTTATCTAAGAAATTTAATAGTGAATAGAAAAACATGAAGAGAAAAAAAAGGAGAAGCAATAATAAATCATATGTATTAATACCAATTTTTTCCGTAGCTGAACTAGTCGAATCATAGAATAATATGTATGCGATATGTAAGAGAATGAAATTATTATTATTATTATTTTTTTTCTTTACCTTTTCTTTTTCCAATTGTTCACAACGACGTGATGTTTCTTCAAGTACAATTTGTACATGTTCTAATTGATGTGTAGCTATACGAATACGTTCACATACATCATCATATTTTATTTTTAAAGATTTATAATCATTGTCAAATTCATCTGCACGTCGTCGTTCTTTTTCCAAATCAACATTTAAATTTGGCTCAATCTATATTTATTAATAAATATATTAATTAAAATATATAAAATTTTAAACAAAAAAGAAACATAATTTCTTCTTGACAGAAAATAAATCATGGCTATATATATATATATACGATAAAATTTTCTCATTATGACATGAATAATAACATACAATTTTCATAATGTGAGTAACATAAATGATACTATGATAAACAATATTGACAAATTAGATAAAAAACCAACAACCGTATTTGATATAACATCTTGTCGATATTTTTTATATTAATAGCTTATGACATTAAATCATGTCAACACGAACTGATTTACCTTTGATTAAAAAAGAAAAAAGAACGTGCAATTAATTAATTGTTAGAAAGACGAAAATAGAAACTGAGCACCTTTGAAGAGTTCTAATGGTACTCAAATTTGAGACGTTTTGCTTTAGGAATGTTTTCATTTTTTGTTTATTAAATAATATTAAGTTGGTATTCATTGTAATGAATTGTGAGAGTGATTTCACGTATGTCGGCGGCATTCAATATGATGGCGTCTTGCGCCATCGGCACTTTCAGGAGTTTTTTTTCTTTTATTACAATATGTGAACCACTTATGATAAGAACTTTTTAGCAATAACATTTCCGATCGAAATGATTACCTTGACTTTGTTTTTACTTTAAATTTGATAAAAGAAATCTGTTAATGTAATCTTTGAACCGGGACTTAAAACTGGTCCCGTAATATTTTCTGTTCCAGAACTAGACTACCCATTTTCATATTTATTATTCTGTTCTGACTAATGATCTACAGATAGGCCTTTTTTATTTATTTATGCCCAGGTCGAGAAGTACGAGTGGGTTCCGGCAGAAAAACACTGGAAGTTATTGGAACAGGGTGGCAGTATTCCGGCTGGACACTTTTCGGATTTTTTCGGTGACTTCCGATCAAATTCCTCGCGTTTTCTTCAGGAAGTTGTCCGGAAAAAATCCGAAACTTTTCCGGCCGGAACACTGCTACCCTGTTCGGGCGACTTTCAGTGTTTTCGTGCAGGATACGGTGAATTTTCCCGCATCTTTCCTACAGGATCCGGTGACCGGAATCTTCGACCTAGGCTTGTTAATTTCTCAAAATCATCAATATTCATTTTATATATATTCAAAAAATCATACAGACTATAAGAAAAGTCGTTTTTTTTTCTAGAAACAATAAAAAGTTTTAAATTGAAACCAGGACC